TGCCGGATTCACGGCTGCTTGTCAGGCAGTTTCGATAGTTGCTAATTCTTTCAGGTCTTGGAGGCAACATCGTTAGACAGTTTCACCAACGTTCCAGATCTTGCGTCAGCGCCTGAACTTCGGTTTTATCCGATCTCGGGGTATTCAACCGGTCGGTTGAGCAAATAGCACTTGTTTCGCCATTTTGTGACGAACAACTCACTAGCCATCGCAGCTGTAGCTTTTCAATCTGCGGAAGCAGCGAGTGTATGTACACCAGGGCTCTCTCCCAGATATCTAACTGCCTGGTTCCGAAAAGTTCAGGAAACGCGGCTGACCATTTTAATTAGCCTCAATGTCCTTCTCAGATTTTTCATAACCAGTAAACATGACTCTGAGGTACTTTTAATTTTTGCACATGTTTACATTGTTTCTCCGTTTATCTACAAAGCGATCTCTCTTCTCATCCGTCTAAACAAAGTCAATTGTTCATTGTCATTTAGCATTAATCTTCAACTGGGAAAATTATTCCGCAAAACTAATGATTTGAGAACTGAAAAAAAAACTAAGTTTTTTGATCTTGGCCGTTTCATGATGTATGTCAGCAAGCGTTTGTTAGTAATTATCTAAGTGTCAGTTCATTTGGAAAAAGCTATGAATTTCCTGTTATCGCAGGCAGCACAGCTGGAACAGGAGTAAGTAGGCGACCGTTTTCGTTTGAGAAATCAACTATTTAAATTTTACTTTTTGTCAAATCACCAGATCATCATCATTTTGATAAATGATATTTTCATTTCATCCTCTTTAAACAGAACGTAAGTTTGACGGCTTAAGATTTCTGATGTTCGATCGTTTCAATATTTGGAACAGTTTAAGATTTGAAGGCGTCTGTTGATTAATGAAGGTAAGATTCATCACCATTGAATTGATAGGTAGACTGACAGCTACAAAAATGGATCAGTGCAGAAATAAATAAATAGATATATGGATAGACCGACAGCTAAACAGATTGCTAGATGCATGGACAACTAGATGATCAGATACATATATGGATGGACAGGTAGATAGACGGACAGCCAGACAGACTGATAGATAGTCAGCTACATGGGCAGATAGATATATGGATGAATAATTGGTAGATACACAGAGACAGATTGATAAATAGATACGCAGATAGAGAACTAGATGGGCAGATGCATACGTAAATGAATTGCTAGGTAAACACACAGAGAGACAGATTTGTAGATAGATAGGTAGATGGATAAATAGACAGACAGATAGACATCTACATGGGCAGATAGATATATGGATGAATAAACTGGTAAAAACACAGAGACAGGTTGGTAAGTTGATAGATAGATGGACAACAAGACAGGCAAATAGACATATGGATGGACAGTTAGGTAAGTACACATACAGACAGATTGGTAGGTAGATACATAAATGGACAACTAGATCGGCAGATAGGTATATGAATGGATTGGCAGGTAAACACACAGAGGCAAATTATTAGATAGACTGATGGACACCCAAAGGGGAAGACACAGGTATGAATTAATTGGTAGGTAAACACACAGCGGCAGATTATTAGATAGACTGATGGACTCCCAAATGGGAAGACACGTATGGATGGGTAGGTAGATAAACACACAGAGACAGACTGGTAGGTAGATACACAAATGGACAGCTAGATGGACAGGCATATGCATGGATGGATTGGTAGATAAACACACAGTGAGACAGATTTGGAAGTTGGCAGATAAATGGGCAAATAGATAGGTAGATACATGTATGGGCGGATAGCTAGGTAAACATACAGATATGCAGACTGGTAGGTAGATAGACATCTATCATGGTCTTTGGATCGCATATAGAGAAAGAAGAAAAACAAGAAAGAAAGACTGTTTTTATTTAACCCAGAAATGCAATGCTTCGATTAATTTGATAACGGTTTTTTGCGAAATAATCAATGAAATGGTGGTGTCGTTCTCGTGGGTCCTTTTCTGACGTGCGATAATGGTATCTGTCTGCCTCCTCCGTTCAGAACGGGTGGCGACTCCGTTGTTGACTGGTATCTTCGTCGTCGTTCCGTCGGTCTTCGTCAGCCGTCGTTGTGCTGCTACGCCCCCGGCCGGCAGAGAGCAATGAGCAGGTTCTGATCACTGACTTTTCGCAGTCTGCCTGAGTCCCCCCTACAACCTGCGCGACCTTTGCTAGCCCGGGCGGCGACCGAGCCAGTATAATTTTCGATGGCGTCAATACCATGAGTGGCAGGTGGCTGAATTTTGCAGAGACTTGCCACGGTCTCCAACCCTCCTCCTTTCGCATCCGAGCTTGGGGCCGGCACCCGCGGAGTTTGATGAATATGAGTCGTAGACTATCACTGAAAAACTTCGAACCCGGGTAC